GGAATGCTGACTGCCCCAGTGCAGAGAAGTGCTACAGACAAGCTTTCCTTTTGCCTTTGCTCAGGCAACAGGATGGTAGCACAGAAGTTTGTAATTAATGGGAGAAAGGTAGTTACTATAAAGTAGTACATCAGATGTCCTGGGGAATATTAATTGGCTTTATTATCCAAATATTCCTAAAGAAATTCTAGCTTGCAGTAATTAGGAACCTACCTGTTATGGTTACATGTTTTGAAACACAGATGTCTGGATCTTCTGAAATGAGGCATCTCCTGGCTTTCAATTGATACATAACCATTTAAAATTATTTTAACAGCAATTAAATTCTCTCTTCTATATTCAGTACCGTCTTATTATTTTAAGGTGTGCAATAATATAAGGAACAGATGATTTTTCCAGCGTGTGTTCTTTATTTCTTTTGACCTGACTTCACTTTTTTTTTTTTTCCCTCCCAGGCAAATATGAGGCGAGCTCCGAGTCGATAGCTTCTTCCCCTAAAAGGGACACCATGAGCAACTTCCTACCAGACAGCAGCTGTTATGAGTTGCTCACTATCATAGGTAATGCTACTAGTGGGCTGGAGGATTGGAAGTCTGCTTCACAAAGAAAATAACTTCTGCAGATTTGTTGGCCTTTTTTACATTAGATGTCTGTCCTCTTTGATCTTAAAATCACTTTAATAAAAAATGAAATGCCAATCCTAAAGGCTTTCAACTGAAAGAGGCATGTGGTGGTTTAGTGATACTGAGTGTGAAGTACAAAGTCAGCAGAAGCAGCCTAAAACCTGTCCCTGTTCTTGGTGGGGCTGTGGCCTAATTATTTTATTTCTACCTCAGTTCTGAACTTGAAAGATGGGATAATATTACTGGCTAGGAGGATTTCTCTCAATGGGATATGTGCCAAGGAAGGTGGTATCTGATGGAGCCATTACTCTTTTTTCACAAGGCCAAAAATAGTTTCAGTAAATGAGTGTAAAGATTATTTAAGGGTCAAGGACTGGAGGAGTTCTCCAGAAGTGTGTAGTGCCAGAAATATTGCTGAAGCTGTAATGCCTTTATTTCAGGCCGAGGCTTTGAAGACTTGATGGTTGTGAACCTGGCCAGGTATAAACCCACAGGAGAGTATGTCACAGTCAGAAGAGTGAACTTGGAGGCCTGCACAAATGAAATGGTCACATTCTTGCAGGTAACACGGATCTACTAATACCATAATGCAAGTTTAGGAGAGGACAGACAGCAAGAGCAGTGCTAATCCATACTGTATTCATATTTCTGCATTTACTAAATTGAATCAAAATGTCTTAATTTATTTATTTTAGGGGGAACTTCATGTTTCTAAGCTCTTCAATCACCCTAACATTGTGCCATACAAAGCAACTTTCATCGCTGACAATGAGCTATGGGTAGTGACATCTTTCATGGCCTATGGTAGGTGGAGACCGAATACCTTTGTCTGAACATCATATTGCGTGAAATGGAATTGAAGAGGTGAAGTATCCATGGAGGTTTTTTCCTGACCAATTAAGAGGCGTTTTCTTTCTTTTTAGGTTCTGCAAAAGATTTAATCTGTACCCATTTTATGGATGGGATGAGTGAACTGGCTATTGCATATATCCTCCAAGGCGTATTGAAAGCACTTGACTACATCCACCATATGGGCTATGTACATAGGTATTAAAAAAAAAAAAAAAAGCAATCCATTTTCCTTCTGTTAGAAGTTCTCAGAAATACTGCTGATCGTTAGAGCAGAGTGGATAGTTCAAGAGATGCGGAACGCATTATTGAGTTTTGTATTACCTTGCTGTTAGAGCAAGTCAGTTTGATACTCGGCGGAAATTACATTCTTGATCTTACTAAACTGCATGAAAGTGTCACTGTGGAACAAACTTATCACAAAGACCACTGCGTATCTAAAATCACAAGTGCAGCTCAAGTTGGTAGTCTCCAAACTGAGACTGACAGTGCCAGTGGGGTTATTTGCCCTGTTCCTGTTAAAGGTCCCGGGTCCAAAACCTTCAGTCTTGCATTCTTCCTTGCTACAGAAACGTTCTTTGGAAACCTGCAAAGCGGGTTAATGTTTGTAGAAGCTGGTTTTGCAGAGCATTCAGGATGGTTGATAGGAGTCTCAGCCTCCTGGTAGGAGGCTGATCAAGTATTGTCCTGTGCGTTGAGCTGCCCAGTAAAGTAAGCTTTGGTCCTTTCCAGAGGTGCTCACTAAGGATGAATTTCTGTTTAACACTACAACTTCTCTTAATCTCTTTCTAAATCACTGTCTCCACCCCTTAGTATATTTTTCTTGTTCTCTGATATATCGCTCGTTGCGAGAGTAAATTTCAGATGCTAAAAGTTTGAGGTTATTGGTGATTACTACCTGTATTGGATGTACTGTAAAAGAAATTCAGCTTACCTATGCCTGCCTTAAATCCTTTGCAGTGCTGTTCTGCGCTAAGTCTTCCTGGGGAAGCTGTAAGGAACGTTAACTCCTTTGAGGCCAAAGAACCTGACTATTTCTGCTTTTTTTCAGGAGTGTTAAAGCCAGCCATATCCTGATCTCTGTAGATGGGAAGGTGTACCTCTCTGGCCTGCGGAGTAATCTAAGTATGATCAACCATGGGCAGCGACTCAAAGTTGTTCATGACTTTCCCAAATACAGCATCAAAGTCCTGCCTTGGCTCAGTCCTGAAGTCTTGCAGCAGGTGTGTTAAAAAAAAAAATAAAATGCTAGTTTTTAGTGATATATGGTATCTCTGTATAATTTTCTGAGTTCTTGTGGTTTGTTTGGGGAGTGTGTGTGTGGGACACATGACAAAAGCCACGGGGTTACTTTTTCTCATGATGAGCTCTACCATTTTTTTTTTTCCTATTCTTTTTACCTTAAAAACAGTGACCCCTAGCAAGGGGAAACCTGTATTTCTGTCAAAAGGGGCAATTGCTGAGAAGCTCATGTTACAACATTGTCTTTTCTCCCTATAGAGTAGGGTGCGCGCGAATGCAAGGAAAAAGAAGGGGAAACAGATTTGGAGCAGGCACGGGCCGAGTGGGTAGAATTCAATCTGATCTCTGTTTGGCTAAAAAATTTTCTTGTAGGTACCCCTACAGATTCTCCCATTAGCAAAGTGTTACATTAGGTGCCAGTTACCCTAAGGTGGATGCCATCCCTACTAGCTACCACCACAATAAACCAGCCTATACGTGGGTTGTACTATTTCTGCTCTAATCCTTTGGGTTTGCTGTTCTGCATGTTGAATCATGGGTATTGCCTGTGCAATCACATGGAAGTCCACAAGGCTAATTTTTCTTTCCCTTTTCATCTAGAATCTCCAGGGTTATGATGCAAAATCTGACATTTACAGCGTAGGGATAACAGCCTGTGAGCTGGCAAACGGACACGTACCGTTTAAAGACATGCCTTCTACTCAGGTAAGGTTTAAATGCTGTTCCTTTCTTATCCTTCATCCTGGCACATGGAAGTGCCTTGCTGCACTGGGATGGGAAGACGGAAGGGTGCTGTGCCTACCTGAATTCCCTTCTCATGCTTTTTCCGTAGAATGCAGTGCTTATGTATTGAACCTTTAGTGTCAGAATGGTCATGTCCAAATTCTGAGGACATTAGAAATCCACTGAGAAATCTTAACTGTCTAGTCTTTGTGTGTGTGTGATGTTGCTCCTTCTCTTCCAGATGCTCTTGGAAAAGCTGAATGGAACTGTTCCCTGCCTGCTAGACACCACCACAATCCCTGCTGATGAGCTGACTATGAAGACCTCCCGTTCAAGTGCTAACTATGGGATGGGCGAGAGCATGGCTATTAGCAACGTGAGAGCGGCCAACGGAGAGCCAGCCCTGCACCCTTATCTTCGGACCTTCTCCACCTACTTCCATAACTTTGTAGAGCAGTGCCTCCAGCGGAACCCCGATTTCAGGTAAGTCCAGGTGAAAGCTGCTCTTTGCGGACCTGCACTATTCTAAGCCTGATTAATCCATGAGAATCAGCAGAGGTTGTTCAAAGTTTTCTTTCCAAAAGTGTAGTGGAGTGAGGATGTGCTGCATACATTGAGAAGAGCAGTCCAAGTGTGTAAAACAAGAGCAGTGTTAACACTTTGAGACACTTTCTATAAGACAGTCTGAAGAGTTCTTTGCGGGGGTAGAGCAGTGCTACGTGTCAGGAAAATAAACTGAACAACTTGACTTTCTGATCCCTGTGAGGCTATGTTTAGCCAATTTCCATTGCTGCGAATGTCTGCTGCTCAGCCAGCAGAGAATAATGATAGGGAGTAATCAAGAACTGTATTTTCTTCTGTAGGGTCATCTTCACAGGCCTTCACAGAATTCACAGAATTGTTAGGGTTGGAAGGGACCTCTGGAGATCATCTAGTCCAACCCTCCTGCCAGAGCAGGGTCACCTACAGCACGTTACACAGGACAGCGTCCAGGTGGGTTTTGAATGTCTCCAGAGTGGGAGACTCCCCCACCTCTCTGGGCAGCCTGTTCCAGTGCTCCATTACCCTCAAAGTAAAGAAGTTCCTTCTCATGTTAAGATGGAACTTCCTATGTTCAAGTTTATGCCCATTACCCCTCGTCCTATCACTGGGCGCCACTGAAAAAAGACTGCTCCCATCCCCCTGGCATCCTCCCATTAAGTATTTGTATGTATTAATAAGATCCCCCCTCAATCTTCTTTTCTCTAGACTAAAGAGACCCAAGTCCCTCAGCCTTTCCTCATAAGAAAGGTGCTCCAGTCCCTTTAGCCATGACGAACTTCTCTAGCGTACCACACTGCTCAGAAGCTTTCCCTTGACCAAACATTGGGGCGTGCAAGTAGGTGACTTGCACAAGAAGAAGGTTGAACTGCTTGCATAAAACATCATGTGAACATAATAAACAGTGCTACTGGTTAGGAAAGGGAGATACCCTATAGCTGAGGTGTGAGAGAGGCAGGAAGGACCCCGGTCTTTTCTATCTTCTGCCTCCACTAACTAACTTTAAACACTGATGCAATTTCTTATGTACTTATTTTATTCTAACTCCCTTCTACAGGCCAAGTGCAGGCACTCTGCTTAATCATCCCTTTTTCAAGCAGGTAAGGAACTCATTCAATCTGCAGATAAAGAACAGTAGCTTTTCTGTAGTTGTTGTCTTGCTGTGTCACTGAACCTAGGGGTGAGAATGTTGAGTTGCTGAACTTTCTGTGATCTGAAAGGATTAAGTTCGTTTGGTGACTAACTATAGTGCAGCTTGGCGATCCTCACATTCTCCTGGGAGGTGGATTGGCTGTTCTCATGGCTGTTCCTCAATGCATCTTCCTTATCTAAACAGAGGACGTAAATCTGTCCTATATGCCAGCAGCTTTTCACCCACAGAGTACTGGGGCAAGGGAGTCCTAACCTGGTCTTTACTGAGACCAAACTGAGGTGACCCGTGCATTGCTTAGAGCTGTGCAGCACGTTGGGGAGCTCCAGCCCTGGCATGGGAAAGGGCAGAGGTTCTCCTGCCCCTGAAATGATTTGTCTGGCTTGCTCTCAGCTGAGGTGAGCATTGGGACCACAGTACCCACGTGCTGCTGGAAAGACTGTATGCAAAGCACTTTCTTGTTACAAGATGAAGTGTGAAAGCCCTGCACATCTCTCAGTGGAGGTGGAAGGATAAAACTGTGGTCTTAGTTTCTACCTATAACCACACGTTGTTGCTGCTGGCCTGCAACGGGCACCTCTGGGGAAGAATTTCAGCAGCCGAGTTCTCTTTCTGTGCAGATCAAGCGCCGTGCTTCAGAAGCACTCCCTGAACTTCTGCGCCCCGTCACCCCAATCACCAATTTTGAAGGAACGCGGCCCCAGGATCCCAGTGGCATTTTTGGGCTAGTGTCAAACCTGGAGCAGCTGGATGTGGATGACTGGGAATTCTAGAAAAACAGGGACTACACCTCATTCTGGAGGAGCTTTCTGGACATTGTAATTTATTCGTCCTGTTCATAAAAGTTGATGAATGTTACACATAGAAGAGTTTACAGGTCCTTGGGAAGGAACTTCAACTGCCTCTTTACTTAGGAAGTAGCCTGGAAACAAATGGATCAACCCCAAGGAACTGTGGCGTATTCCAGATTGGTGCAGTGCCCAGAGCCCCAGTTCTTGACGCTGAGCACTGGTAGATCACTTGAACGTGTTGAGTGAGTCTGTTTGGTCTCTATTTATGTGTTTCTAAAAATCACTGGCTTCCTTGTATCACAGTTGAAGGCTGCATGTCCCTACCATCTTTGGTTCTTTCTTTTTTAAGGGTGCCTTAGAGTTAAGGGGAGGCAGGCACAGCTCTTAGTTTTGGGCATTCTCATAGAGCTAGTCTGATTACTGTTACACGGTAAGTGTGGAGGGTGGGGAAAAAAGGGATTATGTTCTTAAATTTAGTCACTGCTTTGTGATGGAAAACAGATGATCACAGATGACCAGATTCTGTTCCAGGCTCTTTCACTGTATCAGGCATTCCTCTGGATTCTTCCAGTTCTGGAGAAACCTTTTGAAGAGACTCCTCTCACTTGATGCTGAGCACTCTGAACCCCAGGTCAGACGGGGCTTTCCAGCCTCTGCTCCCATGGCTGCCTGGGTCACCAAAGTGAGTGTGTATGCCTGTGCAATGTACCAGCTTTTTTATCCCACAGCACATCTCGTTGAGCCTCCTGTTAACTGGGCTGGTTTCACAGCACCTAACACTCATACCAGCTTGTTCTCAGTGACTTACCCTGGCGCAGAGGAAAAATAAGTTGATTTTCATGCTAAATCCTCTTGCTCACAAAACTCCTCTTTGAACATCATGTACAGAATTGATCTTAAGCCTTCCATTACCGTTGCTGTTCTGCCTTCCCTGACTGAATGACAGGTATAAGCTCGCTTCTCACGTGGCTCCCCCTGATTCATGGCTGTGTGACTCTGCCCTGCTGCTGTGGCAGCTCTCCCCCAGTCCACGGTATTTGTTTCTTGGAGGTGTATTTAAGGCTTTTAGTTTCACCTTTCTAAGGACTGTGGGTGCTGGATGTCTTTCTACTCTTTAATGAAGCACTGAGAATCCAGTCCTGTAGGTGTGCTTGATGGGAGTAGTGGTGCTGGCAACTGATCCTTCTTGTGTTTATAAACTGTACTTGAACCCAGATAAAGTTTGTTACTCTAGTTTTTTTGCCAAAACAAATAAAATATTTCTGAAGTTTTTTTTTTAAAGTTTGCTCTTGCTGCAAGGTGATGGAGTGGAACAGAAATGATGATGCAGGCTGGCTGTGCACGCTTACTCCTTAGGAAGCTGCTGCTTGCACCCCAGCTGGGTGGCATTAGAACATACATACCCAGATGAAGGCAGCTGCTGTTGTACGGCTTACCTAGCGGCTTGCAGCACTGACTGCAACTCTGCCTTCAAGTTTCAAAATCATATTTCTTTCAACTAAGAGAAGGTGCAAACAACTGTTCTTGCTCTCTTCTGAAAGTTTCAGTAGAATGCACTTGTTCTCCTGGAGCAGGAGTGTTTGTAAGGGCAGACTACACCAGCTAGGACAGGCCCACTTCTACCTCCTCTCTAGGATCACGTTCGGCTCCTATATTAAAGCCAGTAGATCTTCATTTCCTAGCTTGTTATGAAGTCTGCAGCTTGCAAAAATCCTTATCCATTTGCCACAAGCCTGGACAGGGACTGGGTCACAAGAAAAAGCATAATACCAGTCAGCATAAAACCTTTGGGACTGAGTTAGTGATGGTTTGGAGGAGATGCATTTCCTCACAGAAGAGGGATGTTTCAACAGAGGTGTTACCCACTGACATCCTAAACCTCTCTTAAATTCTCCAAGGAACCAAAAGGGAGGCAGAAAAGACAGGTGGGAAAACACTGAGCTATAATAAATCACAAGTAACTGCAGCACTCTAGCCTGCTTTCCCCTGAGTTAGCATTTTTAGGGTGAAGGATGAACTTAACGCCAGCTAATATTTCTCATCCCTTTCCAAGCTTTCAGCTCACTACATGCTCAAAGATTATGCACTTAATTTCCAGATAGTTTTATGCTTATACAGCAGCCTGAAGCAAGCAGGATCAGCACAAAATTAGGAGTGAAACAGCAGCACCTTGGTCAAAAGGAGAAGTTACGGAGTAACTGAATGCACAGCCTTTGACACCTCCTTCCCCAGTGCACTGCTGTACTCGGAGGCAACCGCTGAGGTCCTGCTGGCAGCGCGCGGCGGTAGACAGCTGTGCTCAGTCCGACCTTACTTTACTTACATTAGTCTTACCTTACTTACTTAAGTTCTGTCTTATGCCTTCACAGAGCAGCACACAGGGAGTCTGGCACAGTCAAGGATGCCGTTTTAAGTAGCTTCTGGTTGGATTACACAAGCACTGGGTACAGCTGCTGACCCCAAGGCAACTGCTGTGAGCTTTTTTTTTCTCCTACAAAAGCTTTATTCAGCTAGATACAAAACGGGGTGGTCCTGCTACTGTGGCTCCTCTCCATGGTCTGAATGCTGCTGCTCTTCCCCCTCTTCTTCCTCCGCTTTGTGTTTTTCCAATTTTGCCATGAGCTCTGAAAAAGAGGAACAGGCAGGGTGAGACTCCAGGGGCAGGGGCTGTCCCACACCAAAGCCAGGTGCTCAGGTCCCATAAACACCCCTCTCCACAAGAAGCAGGGCAGCTACGCTTGCCCACACACAGGCTCAGCTAGGAGCTACCACCGTTTGCTGAGTCCAGGGCACCAGATGTTACAGTCAGAGAATCCACCAGTGCATTACTGACCTGCTGGCTACAGCATCAGACCAACGGCTGGCTACCTCTGCTCCTGCAGCACACACCCCACACCCAGGACTCACACTCCCCGAGTTCCCCACCTTGGCAAACACAGATGTTCCTTTTGCACCTATGGAGCCACCCGGGCCATGATTTAGTCTCCTGGCACTAAAGGAAGCTCTGCCAGCAGCCAAGAGCTGTGAGCTCCAGCTTAGGGCCAGCCAAACACCAAGAAGATACCCCAGGAGCTGGTGCCTTTGCTGCTCCAGATGCTCCCACTGAAGGCCCTCTCTCCCATGGGGGGCCATTACCTTTCGCTGGGTTGAAGACTCCATTGGTTTGCTTGTCACACACGTAGCAGCGCTGGGATTTGCGATAGTGTTGGAGGGCACAACTCTCACAGAAGTAGTGCCTACACCTGTATGGAGACACAGATGCCACTGCAAGTCACCAGATACAACCACTGTGTCCAGGAGTTAGAAATTATTGACTGCTGGTCCTTGGAGGGATGCAAGAGTGAGCTGCATGCAGAGCTTCCACTGCATGGTTGTCCCCCATGAAAGGTGTTTCAGCATTGCTTCACTGATGTGAAGTGATAGCACAGGGCCACCAGTAAGCTCTTCCAGACACCAGGTACGCAGCACGACAGCCAGCAGTGAGGGAGAGGGCTGGCAGCACACGATGTCCATGCTGCCCCCAGCCTGCTCCTCATCCTTGGCAAGATCTGGGCTTCCCCAAGAAGCCAAGTTTCTCTGCTCATGCAATGCAGTGTGCCATTTGGTTGTCCCGGAGGAATGAAGGCATGAAAACAAAATCTCAAGGTCAAGGGGAAAGATGATGTAATCATGCACCATCCGTGGAAATCTAAAAGATGCCTGGACAACAAAGGCTTGAGCTCCCTTCCAAGGAGACGTAGTTATGAGACTCCCTGATTATCAGAGAGAGGATTTGCCCACCCACCAGAAAGCCAAGGGAGACAACAAGCAGGTTCCACCCACCAGCCTGTGGGCAGTGTTCATATGTGGCTTAACGCAGAACGACTAGTGGACTTGGTCGACAGCAGACACTTGGCTCCCCATGCCAAAACAACCACTTACTTGGTGACCACGGGGTTCTTGAAGGAACTTCTGCAGATGAAGCATTTGAAAGGCATATCCTCTTCATCGCTGCTCACCTCATAGTTTTCCTCATCTGCACAAGAGAAAGTTAACCAGACTGGAGCAAGAGCAGAGGCAGCCAGACCAGCCCATGCGTGGGGTGTGAAATATTAAATATGGGGAGAGTACAGCAGGTGGGATTGAATCTCTGCTGGAAACAATAGAGCTCTGGCATCTGGGTGTTGCTGATGTCACTAACACATGTGGGACTGAGATATAATTAGGTCTAATGAGCCACTGTGCTTGTTGCTCATCTCACAAGAACAAATTCTTTTCTACCTCGCCCACTGACTGCTATAAAGAGACATATCCTCCAGCCCCCTCCTATTTTTCAGATTTTCTTCCAAACCACCTGCCACCAAACTCTTTGGCTCCAACTGAACAGAGAACACCCTCTTCCCCCTGGCTGCACAGCGGTTCATGAGCAACACTCGTGAGCCTTAGGCCACAGCTACGGACACAGTGAGTGAGAAATAATGATGGGACATAGCATGAAAGCATCCCACCGCCGGGACATCTGGGGGGCAGATGGTCACATCTCCCCAGCTCCACACAGCTCGCTGCTGGGACCCATGCAACAGCAGTGCTATCCTTTTATAGAGAGCCAGAGGAAATAATTCTTTCTGGTTGCAGTCCGTGGTTATCTGAAAGCAGCAGATTTGCTCAGCACTGTCAGTGGTTACTGCCCCTAAGGTCACCCTGCAGCAGGGAGTTCCACAGCTTTGGAACGGAGTCCCTTCTGTCTAATATTAATTCAACCTGCAACTCAATGCAGTTTGAGACAGCAAAGGATCCATTTCCTTCTTAGTGATCCAGTATCCCTAAGTGACGTTCACTTTAGGGCATGGTAAGAGGCAGGACCTGGTGGCCTCATCCACCATTAGCTTAGGCAGAGGGAGAGCAGAGGGGTGGTGCCGTACCGTTGACTCCATACCGGCCTTCATCCAATTCCCGTTCAATCTGCCAGCCGTGTTTGTAGTCCGAGCGGTCGTGGAGGAATTTGCAGCTGTCTGAGCAACACAAAGAAAGAAGAATTAACACTCTACCCCACGCAGCTGAGCTGTTATCTGGG